ATCATCTCTGTTATATATATGCGTCCTGGGTATTGAAGTACCATGAAATTAGTTGGAGGATTTAAAATTGTTGTGATTACATATGACAATTGCCCCCAAATGCCCTGGTATGGCAGAGAGTGGGGAGAGTTCGCTCTCCCTCTCCTAATGCTTTCACATGGTCACGCGTATATAGCCTCTAACAGAGAAGTCCTACTCATTGCCTTCCCGTGGCGGGGGTGCTGTTTATGAAATTGAGAGGACAAAAAACGAATGTCCAGCGCTTTAATCGGATCCCAAACCAAATCAATGGTGCACATGGGCTCCAGTATCCTGCGGGAACAAATGGCGTATGAACCAATTGTTGGTAACCGGCTCACATGGGACTGTATCTCCTCACGATGCTCCACTGCCTTGTGGATCAGACCTCTAGGTCGAAGGCTCCAGGTGTGGCCCCCAAGGGAAACCATCAGGTTCGGTTTGGGCGCCCGGGCAGTGTCACAGCCCTCACACAAATCAAATGAGATTTGTGTGGCGCATATGTATTTGGTGGCTCCTTGTACCAATATCTATGTGTTAAAATAAATAAATAAATAAAACATTTGACAATTCACTTATTACGTAATTATTTCGTTTCATTAATCGTGGAGTATACTAACTTCTTTTTTTAAAGATGACATCAGTAAGAGAATTGCCGGTATGTACGAGTCTAGGCAATATCATGTACTAGAAAAAAAATCAACACATTATTATCGTATCGTAACACAATCAACAGCATGTTTGAACGTGTGGTAGAAAATGATATGCTCTATGTTGTTTTAAATGAATTAAATCAGTTTGAATACGTATACACAGATTTAAGAAATAAAAAGAGAACCAAAAACAGAGAAAAATATAATTGGTAACAGGGGATCAATATTCACTAGAATTTATATATATAGGGTGTTTAAAAATGCTGTAAATTACTTGACAACGATATGAAATCCATGTAATTGAGATCATGGAGAATAGTTGTAGTTCAGTATGAGAATTTTGGACTCATTCTGTTCTCTTTTTTTCTATAACTTGAATAATTTAATAGTGGTGCTTAAATTGTCGTTCTAAACAGAAACATCAGTATATACTTAAGAACGTAACTCAACTATAGACAATATGCAACCAAGTGTTCCAAGTTAACAAAACAAAATCTGTTAATTAATCGTGAAAAAAATCGGATAGTTTATTGTTTTTTTTTGTGGAATTATGAGCGGATGTTGTCTAGAAAAACACTGAATCATTCATGACTATAAACTATCAAGCATAACAGAGAACATAAAGAACATCGTAAAAATCTATGTTATTGAATTAAATCATCAGAATAATCAAATGTAAAACAGAAAGTAAACTAATTTATCATGACTTATTGAAATTGTTTAAAGATCCCCGTCATATTAAAAGACTAATATTTGAACGAAGAATATTCTTTTCGATAAATTCTCATCAGGTTCTACAGTTATATATCCAAGTTAATAATCCGAAAAAATGGCCAGGTTAAGGGCAAAGTACATCGTTTAGAGCATGTGAATTTAGGATTGTGATAAACAAAATACAATAAAATTGTTAATCTTAATATGACTCATATAGAATGTTAACATGAATCTGTGTATATGTTAAATGATAATTTAAGATCCATGATCAGAATAAATATGGGTCAAATAGGGTGAAAGTGAAATAATAGTTGGATGCGAAGGGATCTCTTTTCAACGAATTCATTATCAAGCTGTACAATCGTATATATATATATATATATATATATATATATATATATATATATATGAAAATTTTGTTTTTGTAAAGGTACTAATTCTGTGAAGAAGTGATAGTGCAATTACAATTCGATCAAATAAGTAAGACGTAATTATCAATGATTTATCGTAATTTCATGTAACCAGTTTCTTATACAAAAATTGACTATCTATTAATATACGTGTTTTGCTTTTTTAGCTTTACCTCGAATGATCACAGTGCTGTAGAAATTCATTTATTTATTCTTCTACCTTCTCTTTAAATTCATTAAACTTTCATTCTGCAAGCTAATTCATTAATTTTATAACTATTAGTATTATTATTTGAGATCATGGATCTATTAATGTTAGAACATCATTGAAAACCTAAAAGCTCAGGAAGGCCGTTTCGTCGTGATATGAAATTTCTCACTAATGAGAATTTACAACATTGCAAATGGGACTCGAACCCAGAACGCTTTAGCTCTAGACCACTGAGCAGGCATCCAATAGTGTGAAAATCAAGCTTCAATCAATCCATGATATTGCGCGAACATCTTTCATTGTCTCTAGTGGGTTGAACATTTACACCGTTGGATGCCGTCTCAGTGATTTACAGATTAAACGTTCATGTGCAAAACAGAAGGTCCTGAGTTCAAATCCCGCGTGTGGAATAGTGGATGCACACTGCTGAGAAGTTCCATACTATGACGAAATGGCCTTCTAATGTTGCCAGGTTCTCAATGGTAATCTAATATTGATCGATTCATGATCTCAATTAAAACTCAACTATCTCCACAACCCTATACTTATTATAATCATTGAAAAATGGATTATTTTTTCAACCATTAGTTTGTTCATCCAACAATAAGTGATCATTTAAAGTTGTACAAAGAATTGATCACATGATTAGAGCACAAAAATTCTAAATATATATGTATGTCTTATAATGATAAGTAAATCTTAGGCGTGGTATTGTTAACTTAAATCTGATTACTTTGAAGAGGTGAACATTGAATGACATGAAATATTAAAATTGAATTTTGGAAAAGAATGATGAAGTGATAAAAGAAATTATTTCGATTGTTGTTGTTGCTCCTTGAAACAGACATTTCTACTATATGTATCCATGTATGTATGTATGATGAAGAGCTAGATAGGGAATAAGTTGCTTTCAAGTGATTTCATTTAAATGAAATACTGATTACGAAATCATATTTTAAACTTTAATACATTTTCAATACAACTTTATTAAGAATAAATACTGAATTATTAGTAATTTTGGGAATGGATTTAACCAGAAAATACTAAACTGGTTACTCTTAAACATACAATATAACTTAATTATAAAATGTATTTATTATTTTCTATGAAAAATATCGTGTCAAATACATATGCGCCACACAATAACAATGAGGCTAGTAGTAATTATCATTGATTTGTGTGAGGGTCGTGATACTGACCGGGTGCCAAACTCGAAGCAGGTGGGTTTTTTTAAGCGAACCACACCCGGAGCCTTCGACTTAAATTTCTGATCCACAAGGCAATTGAGCAACATCAGGAGATACAATCCCATGGTAGCTAGTAACCAACAATAGGTTTATACGCCATTTGTTCTTCCAAAATCCTGAAGACCATATGCACCATTGGTTTGGAATCAGAGTTTTCCAACTCTACGGTCACCGTAAAGTCAACTTCTCTAAATTGTCACTTTATTATGGTAACTAACTAACCAAGTACTTAGAAACAAACTTTTGAAAGTTTGAAGAGAAAGTAATTTGAAAGTAGAATAAAATAAGAATTTACAGAGCATGGAATAAATGAATACATGTATGTATGCATGTAGGTATGTGTGAGAAAGAGTGAGATATGTAAATAAATAAATGAATAAATTGAAGCATGAAAATGGTGGTGGTGTGTTCTTGAAACTGTTATTATCGATATGACAGTAATGATGATGATCAGACTAGTAGTAGGAAAGATAGGAGGACATAGAGAAAAAAACAACACCAATAACAACGAGAAAAATAACAACAAAAACATCAGAATAGAAGATATACAGGTTTTCTTCTCTAAAAGAGATATTATAGTATAGAGTATAATATTTAAGCCTACAATAGAGTTAGCTAGACACACATATCGAAGTTCAAACCTTTATTATGCATAAAAAGGATGGAGGAACGGATAACGACGACGACGACATTGGCAAGTGGTAAGATAATTCAATGCTAAGAGAAGTAAACCATGTGTACATAGATAACATATATACAGGGGATACATATATATGTACGTGTAGCATACGATGCTCTATATAGTGGGAAGCGAAACAGGTCAATTAAACAAGGTAAAATGTAATTACCTACTATACTTATGCATTGAGACATTCAGTACATGTATAGTGGTGTGTAAGCATACAAGCGAGAAGGTAACACGTATATACATATATATATAAGGGTATTTTCAAGTTGCTTGCTAACAAACGAAATTCGATATCGTTTAAAATAAAAATGACCTTGAGAAAAACAATTTCCATTCCATTCATAGACAATATTGTTAACTATTTAGTTATTGGAATAATAATTTATATACATTCATTTAGTAGTCAGTCAGTCAGTCACCCACTCATTTCTTTACACACACACACACACAAACAAACAAACAGAGAGAGAGGGAGGGAGGGTAGAATGCATGTGTACAGTTATTTATTATGATTAAGTTCTTTCTTTTTTCCCAATAGGAAAATATGAAAGGGAGATCAGAGAAAATTATCAAAATGACAATGAAGAAAAGAAATTCTAAATTAAATTATAATTGATATAGAAATATAAACTGATAATATATATTTACATACTTATGAAACTACCGACATTATCAGTAAATGAGCATACCACAAATGAGATAAATCGGTAACAGACAATAATGTTTATAGAGATGGTAAACAACCGTTTCCGAGGTGAAAAAAAAGTAAATGAATTTGGTAAACGAGCAACAATGAATTGTTGCTCATTTACTGAAATTAAGTTAATTAAGTATGCTGATTATAAAAATGAAACAATGAATTATTGAATGTAATAAGAGTATTACACTAAAACATAGTTGAAACTCATTAAACCTTATATGATAATTAACATATCTGTTCACAACTAAGTTTAAAAAAAATATTCATTAAAATCGGCTTTAAAAAAATATATTTCACAGAAAAAAAAAGTTTGAAAGAAAAACTTAGAAAAAACTAATTGATTATAACCAAGAACTTACTGAATAATGCATCATACAAGGATCACTAGGTTGAAATTGTGATCGACCACCACCTGTTGTTGGTGCCTGATGCATAGGACGTGGATGACCAGGTGTAGAACGTGGGAAGTGATTCATTTGTAACTCATCTCCAATATAGGAAGGATTCATTGATTTACTCGGAGTTGTAACGCAATTAGGAATTGGTTGTTTAACACAGTGAACATTTTGATTGGTAGGTGATGACTGTTGATGTGTGGATGATAAAGACTGTGTATAATTACCAGTATTGGTAATAACACTAGATCTACCGGATGCAGCACCAGCTTTACGTTTTTTTGTCCCTGGCTTTGCGACGCCAGAACCACGCCCACCAACTGATTGGTTAGTATTAGTGATAGGTACACATGTAGGAGGAATAGAACCAACAACAGGAGACTGAATAACATTTAATGATTGACCAGCACGACAAACAGATGGCATCGAACCCGGTTCAATGTGACCAACGAGAGCAGGGTTTTCGTTATTTTGAATAGGAGACATAGAAAGAGGAATTGAGTTGGGTGATAACCAAATATCACTATTTGTAGCAGAATGGTAAGGACGTTTTTGCCCAGTAGTTGGGACTACACCGGGAGTTATTGACTCCGGACCGGCTGCACCGATAGGACCTAGTGTCCGACAAGATTCTGTCGGTAGTGTCAATGAGTCAGAGGACGGATAACCAGGATTTCCAGAACATATATTTGAATTATTTGGTGGAACCATTACAACTGGAGGGCCACTTTGGTAAGTCGGTTGGCAGGTTTGTTGGTCAGTCATCATTACTTGTTCTGAAGGCATCATCATAGTTCCAGTAGCCATAGGTGGAACAGGGCACTGAGATGACAGATTAACTTCATGAGGAGGAACTGGACAGTTGGACATATCAAAAAATCCCATCTGTCTAGGTCCAGAATAACGCATCATCGATGGATCACTTTTTCCACGCTGATAATCAGAACATAATCTATCCCATTCTTGTTGAGCTGACTCATTATTAACATATGGTCCTCCAACTAAACCGCTCTGACGAAATACCCCATAGTTTTCGAAATCTACCGGACGTTGTCCAACAGCTTCAGAATATTGTAATGAATTGTTAATAGCTGAATAATGTTTAAAAAGAAAAGAAATATTGTAAAAATTCATCAAGCAGTATGTATTTATTTTAAAAAAATAAACAGTTAAGATGAATAAAGTACTTCAAAAGTATTTCATTCTATGTATAATATTAACTCCGCCTGTAGCACGTCTGGCGTTACTGTAGGTCCCATGTCCGGATAAATGAGGCGAGTTGGGCATGGGGGTTAGCGAACCCATCCTGTAGAAAACTAACTCGATTTTAAAAAACGTTAACTAGAAATTAATGTATAATATTATAGAAATAACATAATATTATCAATGTATGTCATGAAAATTTAACAACTCTACCTTTATTCTATTGTTGAGATTCTTAATGATACAAAATTATGTGGAAAATATCAGGTTCAGACGGTGGAAGAATCATGTTCATAAGTATGATCAAATTAACATTTTACATAGTGTATGTATCCTTAAAATAATAATAATACTGAATATTTATTTCCCTTTAGTAGTTTAATAGTTCAGTAAAAAAATTTCGAGCTTTCTAGGATTTAACGAGTATCCTTTCACTACATTGATTTATAAAGTGCATATATGTTTATGTACTCAATTTGAAGTTACACATTTCTAAATATTATATATATATATATATTATAGATTCAGTTTGCTGTGTTAATGAGGTGTAGCAACTTGGACAGATGAATATATGTACTTGGTCCTACGTTGTAGCTGACTGACTGATTGACTGACTTACAAATATCTATAGTTATTGATGCAATCCCGTTTCCATCAAACAGAAAAATAGAAAGACTGAATAGTTTAAACCTAGGACTCAAGGTATTTGAAAGTTAGATAATTATTTGTAGAACTTTTATAAGATTGTTAGATATAACTTACAATCTGTTAAGTAATGAGTTAAAGTAAGCAGTGAAATTCAACAATGTTATATGTGAACCAGTTATCCATTAATGATAATGGAAAATAGATTAAATTAACACCAGTTTCAATAGTTACAAAAGAACAAAGTAATAAGAATTAGTTTAAAGCCTGTTTTATAATTCAATCATCAATCATATGAGCATAGAGAAAGAGAAAGAAAAGAAGATTTATGAATGAAAAACGAAGTAGTATTTATGATATTCTAATTAACTATTCTTTATTTGAACACTACATAATTATGGTTTTCTTCTAATTAGAAAAATGGAATTAATATGCATTTTTCTCTTTCTCTCTTTCGCTCTCTCTCACCTACACAAACACACATACACACAGAGTTTGGTTTTCGCCTTTTCCATTTTAATATGAATAATGTACTTTTAAAATATGCATAGGACAATTGGTTATCATCTAATCTATACTACAAAATTATTGATAAATGCATAGATATTGCACAATATATAAACAATGAGATAATAGAGTTATAATAATAATAACTATTATTATTCACTAGTGAAAAAAAAGGAATTATTAACTGTGCACAACAAGTTTGTTCAATGTACAAGAGATTATGTCACAGTTGAAATTACTGAACAGTAATGTTTATAAATGTAAGTATACATGATGAGTTAGATTTGTTTTTGTACAAAAGGGTAGAGATTATATCAGGAGATATATTGTCACTATTCACGGTATATATACATGTACATATCATCTGTTTGTTTTTTAAAGAATTAACTTGACTTATTCACCAGATACTGGCGTGTAAACCACACTCTAGACAATGGAGGCTAACAATACTACTACTCAATTGCTCAAACAGGGATCAAACCTTAGGATTAATGACTAAAGGTTGGACACTTTAACCAATGTTGTTACTATTCTACTCAAATAATCATCTAGTACAATATGTCATTATTATTATTCCAACCTATAGTTGTATGATAAAGTCGAACTAGGTAGAAGAATACTCAATGAATTATGTTATTAAATTTATAATTTAAAAATAGAAATAACTAACCGGAAGGTGGTAGTTGTGCTGAAGGATTCCCTAACCCTAACGACTGTTGTTCCAGCTGTTGTTGGTGGTGGTGATGATGATGATGATGGGATGGCTGTTGTGGCTGCATTGAAATAGAATTACGCATTAAACGTTGTTGTAAGACAGCACCAGCTGTTGCTGCAGTTATAGCACCTGGTGTTGAAGCACTTTTACTTTTACTCAATGTTGAATGAATTTTTTCTAATTGTGCTATTTTACTCTTACGATTCTCCCATTGTTCTTGAGTTAAAGGCATACAACCACTATCTGGAATACCAATTATCGGTGAAACTAAAGCAGTAGTTGGACCAATACATTGTTTTGAATTTGAATTAGATGATAAGACAGAAGAATGTTCTAATCCACTGCATGAATTAATATCTTGATGTCCTGTACACATATGTCGAAAATAAGATGAATTAGTGGATTGTTTTATATTAATCGGATCGATAATTTCAACTGGAGATCCTTTCATCGTCATATATGAGTCAAAGGGATATGCTTGTTTTGAGGTGCCATTTCCAGTAATTTGATTTTGTGATATTTGTTGAGTAGATGAAGGATATGATCGATAGTTTCTTTCATCAATTGTTCCATTATTTGATCGTTGTTGTACTTGAGATGATTGTGGTTGTGTTGAAATGGCAATTGTATCATTGCTTGTTGGTAACTTGCGATCACCTAATTATAAGTAGTATAATAAAATACACTAAGTGAATACGACAAATTCTTTACGGTTAAATGAATAAAAAAAAAACGGAATAGATCTAAAATACACAAAGAACCATAAACATATGATATATACATATATAACAATAACAATAATTCATTAATGCATTTTAATCGTGGGTTTTAAAAAGATAAAGAGGATTGTTTTCAAACTTTCGAAGGAAACGCCCTAATAAAAAAGAAGAGTGAACTGTGAGTAGAAAAATGCTTATCTGTAGTCAAAGCATTGACTTGTAAGTTTTAATTCTGATTTATTCATAATGATATAAGCAGTCCCTAAAGTACCACCATTATTAACTCTCATATAGAAAAGTGACTTAAAAGTGGAGTATATATTTACGCCTATATCGGATATGATACTTTATGTATCTATTGTGTTTATACGACAACAATTTAATCGAATAGGTAATTCAAAGGAATCGTTTAGGCCATATCGAATGTAGGAGTTTACACTGAATAAGGGACTACACATATATGTTGATTTGGAATAAAAAACCGAAGAGTGAAATTATTCAACATATTAAGTTCTTGGAAGTGAGTATTCACGATCCCACATGTAAGACAGGAACCCATGACCTTCAGTTTGGCACGCGAACGCTTAACCTCTAAACCACTGAGCCGGTATCAAACGGTGTTCATGTCTAACATCAATCGACCTTGCACATTGTTGAGGAGTCCCATACTAAGATCAAACGGCCGTCCAGTGTTTCCAGGCATTCAATGGTGATTTAGCTTACATCGAGTGATGAATTTCAATTATCAAAATCACTACAATCTCTACAAACCTCCATTCCAATATTAATTTCTTTTGAAATAAAGTTTTTTTTATGTAACAGGAAATATCATATGAACGAAATTATTTCATTCTTCCTATTTCGTCTACTTTCTTCTGAAAACAAAGTAAACAGTATTTATAAAAAGAGAAAATAAAACGAAAGGAATGCATAAAAGCAGTCATTCATAATCACTGATACAGCATAGTATATATGCGCTCATCTGCTCAAGTTGTGCTATATTAAGAATGAATAAGATGAGATATAATTTACAAAATAACCAATGGAATCGAAACAACTGTAGTGAAAATCACTAAACATTGAGAAGATGGTTCAAGTAGACAGAATGAAAAAGTACGTGTATGAAGGAATACTGGAATTGAAGATCTGGATAAAGGTAATAAATAAATACGTTTGGATCTATACCACTGATTATGACACGTTTTACTTAATGATAATAAGTGTGAAAACTAGTGACACTGTTCAATGTCATAAATCATGGTCAACCGGACAAGATTTGAATCTGAGACTTAATGGTTAAAACTTAAGTGTTAGGATTATTAAAACATTTCTTAGTTGTTTAATGACCTACATGTTAAGTTCAACCATTTTAGATGGATAAATTCAAATAAATTAAAAATATATTTAATAGTACATTTAAGATACATATTGATGGGTGGGTTTAGCAAGTGAAACACTCAACCTTTAGAAATTCGATCAAAGGTTCATAACTATGTGTCGTTTACATTAATTTTAATAGTGAATTAGTCCTACAATAAATAGTTCAGTACAAATACTTTTATTGAGGTAACTGTGTTCATGCGAATACATAGAGATAATCTTCGTTAAAAAATATGTAGTCTATATTCACAATAAGCTCAGTAGCGATAGTGTGTGTGTGTGTGACACAATCTTGTTCTCGTAGATAAAAAACGGTCAATAAAACAAGTTTAAGATGCACAGGATACCGTAGTTCACAAGTATACATATAAATAGTATATTAGTAGAAATCATGAATATAAAAGACTGCTGTCGAAAGAAAAAATTTTTTTTCTAATCAACATATTCACTTACGATGGAATGATGGAGATGATGATGTCATATTTGAATTGGAATTAGGAAGACCGGGTGAACTCCAAGATGCTAATGGTTCACTGACTACAACACCAGGTGTAGCAGTTGTATTAGTAGATATATTAGGAGAGGAAGGAAATAACTGAATACCACTAACAGTGGAAGTATAATTACTATTATTATTTGTCGTAGTAGCAGTAATAGATGTAGTACTCATGGTTGTCGTTGTACATATAGCAGCAGAAGTTGTAGTAAACATAGTGTTAGTACCAGTCAATGATGTGATAGATTCACAAACCACTGAACTACTATTATTTTGCATTGGTACAATAGATTGATCAACAACACCATCTGAATTTCTTATTGTTTCATTATTATTCGATATATTGTTATTGATACTGCCACCAGTTAACGATGTATACCCAGATTTTGTGGCGGTACCAACCACAGGCGATGGTGAAGACAAGTTGTATTGATTTGTAGATGAAGAAGTATTATTCATAAAAGAATCATGATGATTACAACTGACAATTGATCCAGATGATGATGATATGTTGGTATATTCAAGTGAAGCATTAACTTCAGATTTTGGGAAATGCATTAAATCTGGATCACAAGGTGATTGACCAGATAATGATCGCATTTTTGTTAGATCTAGAATAATTACAGTAAAAATTAAATAGAAAGCTATGATGTAACATTATTGATCAGAAATTACACTAAGCAACAAAAAAATCGACACATATCATGTGGTGGTGGTGGTGGTATAAGTCATTTTATTGAAGATGAGGATTATTCTAAAGCAAACCATTAACAACCATTCTCATCATAATTAATTTATATAGACTTAAGATTTGATAACATTTTTTTAGAATAAAATTATTTCTAAATGATTACATCATTATTTTTAATTTAATAAATTGAACTAGTTAATATACAAACAATAAAAAGATAAATATAATTTTGATCAATAAGGAATAATGTTGTTCATTGAAATAGTTCACAAATGCCCTGGTATAACCGAAAATGGAGAGAGTTAGCTCTCCCTCCCAAAATGCTCTCACATAATCACGTGCATACAACCACTGTCAGGGAAGTCCTACTCACTGCCTTCTCACAACACGGATGTTGCTTATGAAATTGTCCGGCGCTTTAACCGGGTTGTTGAGTATAAAAGATCCACCTACGAGAGTTGGAAAATCCTGATTCCAAACCAATGGTGCACATGGACTCCAGTATCCTGAGGGAACAAATGGCATATTAACCAATTATTAGTCACCGGCTACCATAAGACTGCATCTGCTAACGTTGCTCCACTAACTTGTGGATCAGAACATTAGGTCAAACGCTCGGGGTGTGATGCTCTAAGAAAACCACCTGCTTCGGTTTGGGCACCCGGGCAGAACCCAAGCCCTTACACAAATCGAATGATTTATGTGCTAAAATAAATAAAAGAAGTTACAAAGTATTTCTATTAAGGGAGTCCAACAAACCTATTTCAAAACTAGTCACTGATTACAGTATAATTATTACTATTCAGAAAATATGTTTTTCTCTCTCTCTCTCTCTCTCTCTCTATATATATATATATATATATATATATATCACAACGTATAAGTACTTCTAATTTTGTCATTACCCAAGGACACAAGACTGAAATTATTGTATTAGATCAAAATAAGGACAACAGAGAGAAAAAAAAACGGAAGTACATAAAGTCAATAACCTTTGATATTAATGATAAATTTAATATGTAAGTTACGAAAAAAACGTGTACAGATCTAAAATAAATTTACATTTCAAAGGAGATGATAACAGTTGAAGAAAGTCTGAAGATATGGACGAGATAATCAAAGTATACTATTCTTATGAGTTAGTGATACACTACTTGATTGCTCTAAATGAAGCAGATGTAGAGAGAGAGAGAAAAAAAAAGTTAATAGGTAAGTGTTCTATCCAACAAAAGGCCAAAACACATATAGGTCATATAGGTCAGCACAAAATATAAGTATATTTCATGAGTTAAGCGTTAGTTTTTACTATAGAAAAAGAGAAATGAACATATACTATGTTTGTAAGCAAAGATGGATAGCATTACAAACTAGGACACACGTTATGTCCTATTTGGGACTCGTTGGCTGGATGTACCTGCATTTCAGAGTTGATGTTCACTAGAGGAATAGAACCTATTACCGTTTGCTTCAAATGCGATCGCGTCATCTACTTAGCTAGTGAATCCTGATAGCTCCTTATAAAGCTAGTGAATTAAGGAAATATAGAGGCAATCCACATAGGATGTACATATTCCAATAAGAAACTGATCAATTACAGTCCTAAACATCAATAGAAAGATTCAAGTAAACAATACCAAGTGAATTTACACTAAATTGAAAACCAACCTGATTACTGGGAAAAATAAGATATATCAAAATGTGAAAAATATACTTTATAGAAGAAATTACTAAGAAATTTATATAGTGTCATTGAAGTGAAACATTTAACCTGAATCGAAATACAAAACTAACTAATTAGTAGGTCATTAAGGTGAATATCCACGAAAATGGGATGTAAGTACAGTTCCGATATAAGATGAAACGTACAATTTAGATTCTATAGTACAACAACCAACAAATTTGGGAACAATCCACAATAAATACTGATCACTTGTAGTTGTTAGCAGCAACAATAGGAAAATACAAACCCTTACAAATATAAATCGAATTATAGTTTGAAGATACTGAGTGAATCTAACAATTTACTCACAAAACAAAATGAATCTAGTGGAGAGTAGTTCGAATCCACAATCTAATAGTTAACAGTTCAAAGTATATTTCTGTAAGAGTGAGGAGCTAGTCACTATTGAAAGAACACCACTAACCAAAGCCGACGCTAAGCAATCACGATTCCAAACTAACATTGTATTTGCCATTATTTCGTGTTCAATAAAAAAATTCAGTTATTTTACACAAAAGAAATACACTTATATTGTGAATAGAAATGCAAAAGTTACGTCCACATAGAACTGTTTTACACAGTCAGTCAGCTACAACGTAGGACCAGACACATATATGCATCGGTCCAAGTTGCCATACCTCATTAACACAACAAAATGAACACCGGATTCATAAAAGTACTTAATTCAGTGGTGGTAATATATAAAAGAAAGATTGTATACAAGGATATAGTACAGGAAGAAAGAAGAGATAAAGCAATTTTAACTGTTTTACACATCTTAATGAAAATGATATAGAATCTAATTAATAATCTTAATTAATTCTATTTATATATAATTAAATGTGGTTTGTAAGTAGTAGTAGTATATATAGTTATTTATTTCCATTCGCACTCAACTCATTCACTCTACATCAATACAACATAAAACGATGTATATATCTTTACATAATATTTATGAAGAAACAAAGATAAACAATTGCAAGTACTCTAAATTACTGATCGATTTCAGTAAACAATACTAGTTTGTCTATGTATAAACAAAAAATCTCTTATTGATATGCTCACACAAACATACAAGTACACAAAATAGGCACACTACTCAATAATTAAAATCCACAATTGCTTGTATCATTTTCGATTTTCATAGTATAAAGAAGGTGATACATGTGTATTAATTAAGTTGTGGCTTTATGCAACAGAATATGATGGCGGAATCGTAATGATTACTAATAGTAATCATTATATAAAAAGATGAATAGTTACATTAGCGTGGTTAGTAAGAAGAAGATGAAAAGAGAGAAGCACAATTAAACATTACGAGTGAACAGTTAGCAATTTTTTAAAGAAGGAATATTCTGCTTAAATGTGAATTAATCAAGTCATATGATCAACTTGGTTTATTTACACAACAACTAACAACATTTTAATAGTGGTATTTAATTAATCTAGAAAATTACTTGTTTTCCAAGTGTTGAATTATAGATTTAAAATCTAGGTCCGATCTGATTCAGTTTGAGCAGCTTGGGTGGTATCAACATTGCGTTGTTTCCCTCTATCTTTATTTTGCACACACACACACATACCATAAATCACAGAATTGAGTATAGGAACCTGAACATAGTTATTGAATTGCATAACAATTATACTGAAGAACTAAATGAAATGGATATAAATGTGTTTCCAAGGATGCGAAAATTTTTAGACAGCGCGGAATAAGTGCATGTAAATATATACTGAGATAAGTTAGCAATCAAACAGAGATCTTCGTTATTGCATGATCTCCATCTCCTTCTTACCCTTTGCTTGATTTCATTTGACCGCATTTTAGGAAAAATAAATCGATCGTGATGGTTTAGTACCCGCTCAAATATACAGATGTTTGTTGACCACTACTATCTTGACGGTTCGAACCTAGTGACTTTATGATCAGACAAGACATCATTGACTCTCATATTTAAAATATATCTTAGAACTCAATGTACTTGGTAAGTGACTAACAAATTGCTGATACGTGTGAAAAATTACACCAAACATATCACGTTTTTGGGAAAAAAGAAAGATCATAAACAGTTAGACTTGTCAATAAGTAATGACCCAGGTTTTGCTTTAACAAAATAAGCATATTCGCGTAAGAAAATTTCTATTAACATAGATTATAAGCAGATGAAAGTATTTCTACATATATTGTCAGTCGTGAGATAAATACAAAGCTCTTTATGTCCTGTGAAATCTTAAAAACAACTCTACATAGCTCCTTAGATTATAACGGTTCATAATTTACTAAAGAGAAAAACTGCGTTCAATAAGTAATAATATTTCTTTAAAAGATTATAACTCTTCCTGGAGCCCCTCTGGGTTTAAGAATGCTTGTCGGCGGCCTATGCTCAATTGGGAGTAACAGGTGTAAATAAGTATGTAATAAGAAGACTATAGTACGGATATCTATATATTAGATAAATAGATAATAAGTACCATAGCAACCAAAATAATACTTGAAGAAAAAGAAATACAAAAGGTAAAGCTTCCTATGTAGATTTTTTTTCTACAGAAACCATAGGTAAAACATGGAAATAAGTTAGTAAAATATACGATTACAACGGAAAGGATAAATTATACTTAATGAATATATGAGAATATATATATATATATATATATATATATATAGTATGTGTGGATATAATGTTGTTCTACATCGTTTAAATAACAGAAAATAATCAAATATGGTACAGTAACAATTTTGATATATGTATAATTCAGCATAAGCATTATCTCCTAATCTATTCATCCACCTTAATGCTGAATACTTGATAATAATAATAATCTCCGGTTTCCCCCAACTTATCGTTTTTTCTCGGATACATTACTCTTTGTTTTATGAATGTATATATATATATATATATATATATATATATATATATGCAAGGAAATAAGACCATGTACGTTTGTTTATTTATATATGTCCACTGGAACTTAACAAAATTACCTACAATGTTTTAAGGTTGACAATTTATTTTTCGCTCATTATCTACGTACCAACCTACATAAAAATTATTTGATTGATTCACATATTGTTTTTTTTCTCTCGTTAAATCTCGGTAGGACAATAGAAGAATAAGTACATAGACATATATATATATATATATATATATATATATATATAGCGGGCTAGTAAAGTTCAACTCATAAATTGTCTTACTTTC